ATACCTCAACGAGGTGCTTCCAGGCTTCCAGAGCTGGAGCGGCGCTCTCTTTGTAGGAGCGAATGCCGAGCTGTTCTGCGGGTGACATGTTGCGTAGCAGAACGCTGTACGCCATGAGGCAGTCACTATAGTACTGAGCCCGGGCGTCTTCGGTGTCTTCCACCGGTTTAGGATAGGAGCCGTCGAAGTAGTGGTAGATCTGCGCTGTCTGTAGGAGGAGCTCAAGCTCAAAACTCCATGTGTAGAAATCCTTGCCGTCAAATGCGGCAGTAGTCTTAATTTTTGAAACGCTGAGAAAGCGTGCTTGCGCAGAGTTGATTGTTTCGTCGCTTGGACGAGGGGCAGTTGTTGCAGATTTGTCTGAATCGAGGGAGAAGCCATGCGCGGCGGTATCGCGGTTTTTTGTAGCCGGTTGTCCAGGTTGAGCTGGTTGGGAAGTGGTTCCCGCATTGTCTTTGCGCAGTTCTTGGAGTTCTTTCTCCATGGTTGACAGTCGAGCGAATAACTGCTCGAGGGCGGCAGTGCCGATCGTGGTTGTCGCCTCATTTGTCGCAGCCGGGTTGGTTTGTCCTTCGGCCGTTAGATTTGCTTGGCCCCCAGATCCTTCAGCCATCTTGGTCTTGGAGCGTGTGCCGCTCGCCAGATTTAGGTTCGGCGAATTTTACGGAAGTGACGTTGCGAAGAATCCCTGAGTAGCTCTCATACCATATTACAATCTGAGGTGGGACTTTAGCAGCGGATTGTTCAGGGTTGATCGCAGGTAGTGTTGCAGCGGAAGTGTTGAACTCAGGTCAGAGTGAATGTAAAATGACTGAGATTGATGATAGCATGCATACATAAGGTTTATATAGAAATGCACAGGAATGCGAAACGACCTAGACTAGCCATGTACTCTAAGGGGTACATTCCCTTATTGCAGCGAAGTTCAAACCGTGCGGCGCGGGAATCGGTTTCAAACCTGTTCCCGCTCTTTTTGTTTCAAATGCCTTTTTCCTGCATCGGTCTTGGTCAGACGGTTGCTGTGTCGCTTCGATTCTTCTGACTCCTCGACTTCGTACTCGGTAGAGTCGGCTCCTGCAGCATACAGGAATGCCTTCTCATAAAGCTTCGTATCGTAACAACGAATAATTATTGCAGCACGGTGTGCTTCGTTCGGTTGACGAAACCAGGTTTGTTCGCGATCTTGATCGCGCTCTGGTTGTCGCTCTTGATGAAAAAGAGGCCACGCCCTCGCTTGGGCGAAGCTGACTTCGTTGTTCAGCGTGCAAGGTGTGCAGTCGGCCAGGCTTCATGGACGGCGCCAACTTGGATGAGCAAGTCGACTTGGTTAGCCGACCACAGCGAAGTCGCCTTCAGCAGAGCTGACCTTTGCAGAGCCGACTTCAGCGGAGAGACGCTGGTCGACGAAATGAAGTCGGCGGATGACGCCTAGCCTTGGTGGTCGACGACATGACGCCGATTTGCGAGCGCAGTCGACTTTGCGGCCATTCTGGGCCGACCTGGTAACTGGTCGGTGAAGTTCTACAGAGGTGCGCCAACTTCGCCCCATGTGGTTTTAGCAAAGTCGATCTGCGGGTCGAGCATCACGTGCTCGTCAACCTGACACCTGCGGTATGTGCTCGACGGTGCACAACGTGCATGCAATCGTCGACTGCACCTACTTGTCAGGTGTGCACATGTGCGCACATGGTCACATGCGATTGTAACCCCGGCAAGCCGCCCTGGTGCGACATTGGCATGCCACCATCTTGCAGTGTTGGCAAGCCACCTTCCAACTGCATTGGCACGCCGCCGACTTGAGGCGTTGGAAAGCTGCCCTTATAATGCGCTGGAGGCCGACGTGATGGTTGTTAGGTTGCTAGTGCATTTCTGCTAAATCGACTTTGTCATGCCATGTTGAGGCCTAGGAACCGCGTCACGTTGTGGTTAGTGGTGGTGCCGATGCGGCTTCCCAGGTTCCTCTCAAAATGTTCGAGTAGAGTATTGCTCGGTCCTGAGTACAGAAGGTCGTTGACGTAGATAGTGAGCAGAATGTAAACTCCAATGAAATGTAGGCAGTATATCCCAAAATCATGAGGCAGTTGCATGAAGCCTATCTCAAGCAGGGTCTTGTGTAAGTGTTGTTTGTGAGTCTGTCGTGACTGTGCTTACCCATTCTTGCTTATTCATATTTTCTACAATCATTTGTGCTTATTTTATTAGATTCGTTGTGTTACTATAGTTAATATTATTATAGCACCGAATTATGTGGCGTGCACCAAATTCTGTTTCATTTTGGTTATTCCCACGTGACTTTGGTTACGCGTGATTCCGCCGAATTGATTCTACCAAATTCGAGAAGGTCCTGTTCCCGATGCTTCGTGAACTTAAGAACATTCTTGTAACACCTGGTTACCAAAAAATAGTATCGTGTTGTACCCAGGTGATCATTAAATATATATATATATATATATATATATATATGTATCTGAACTCGATCATCGATCCTCCCACTCGGCAATCAGAACCCGTTTTCACTCGAAATTCTTCACTCTCTTGAACTTAGCCTTTACAAAACCGATTCAAAGTCCTTTTTTTTTACCCCTCCGAATGGTTCACGGAACATGCATGGAGGGAAGCGGCGACAACTTTCTACGGGAGTTGGCGACCCTACGTGCCGAGCAGGAGAAAATGCGTGCGACGCTACAACGACTCGAAGTAATGCCCGCGAACCAGTGAGCAGCCGCCACCGCAGCAGCAGCGAACGCAGCAGCGACAACAGCAGCAGCGGCAGCGGTGACGACATTTTTTCGTGCGGCAGAGGCACCAGCTACAGTTAACCTCGAAGTAGCAAAGCCGAGGCTACTGGAGGTGTTCGATCCTATCGCGAAAGGGGGTGACGTCCGTCAATTAGTAGCTGTACTCGAAATTTATTTCGAGGTCGTTGGATGCACGACACCAACCTATGATGCGACTCGAATTCGGCTCGCATCTATTCTGTTACGAGGCCCGACATTGGAATGGATTTACACGAACAGTAACTTGGTCCAAAGCGAAGGGATGTGGGCGCAATTTCTGACAGCACTGATTAAGAGGGTTCGAACCCGTTAATGCCTCGTACATGGCGCGCAAAGAGATCCACCAACACCGACAATGCGAGAGTGTAGCACAGTATTCGCAGCAGATGGAAGTGTTTTTTTATCGGAATCATTGACCTGACCCAAGGCGAAAATATCCAAGCATACACAGCTGGACTAAAAACGAAATCTGCCCACAAGTCATCGCGGCGAAATATAAATACTACAGGGACATCGTTAGTGCAGCCGAACGGTTCAATGCATTGATGAGTAACCACCCAGAACACGAAACAATCAGCCAAATCGAAATTTCGGCACGGAGCGATCGGCACCCCCCACAATTACTGACCGGATGGATATCGACAAGCAGCGGCCCACGAAATCGGAAACATGCGAGTTTTGCGGAGTAGCAGGACATCAAATTTTGGCGTGTTGGAAAATGAAAAAGACATGCGCAGAGCTACATGGCAAAACCAGTGCGGCACCCCCAAAGTAAAAAAAAAAAACAGCTCGCGTCAGCAGCCGAGGATCGAGTTGGCGACGAGGAAACGCTTTGAACAAAAAACAAAAGCGCGGAAAACGTGACGACTTGAGAGAGGGCGAAAAAAGGAGAAAATTATGGCACGGATTTAAATTGCCACGACCGGCTGGCACCAGGGGAAGTCGTTGAGACAAAAGGAGACTCCGCGAAAAATGACTCAGCACCGACCGGGAAACTATAGTCGAACACCCCCAAAAATAAGAATTAGTTAAATATATCCTATAAAGATACTTTAACTAAGAATATAACTTCTCGTGGTTTTAAAGCCTCTGGAAAAAAAAAATCAAAGGGAGAGTAAGAGGCTAAGAGGAAGCCTTTATAAATAGTACCAGTGCCAGGAAAGTTGGATACTCAACTCTGGAGCGTTGAAAGGGTCGAGCGTTCCGAGGAGTTAACATTCTCTTCGAGCAGCAGAGTGAAAGGGCTCCTCGTTCCCCACAAGTGAAGCAAAGGCTTAGGGGAAAGTCCCAGGCCCAGAAGAAGTTGTATCGGCCTCGTAAATATCCTTCTGCGCACCCTCAGGTGGAGTTTGAAGTAGAATCTGCAGATTTCGTTGTAGCAATAGGGATAATGATTTTTTTTTTTTGTACCCTATGATCCTATCAATGAAACTATCTTCAGTTACTCGGAGCGGCAGCAGCCTACTCCTCAAGGTGCTCTGCAAAGGGTGACGCCTCCAAGCGATGGTGGATAGTGGAGCGTCCCACTCAATGTGCGACCGCGGGGCGTAGGAGAAAATCGGGGAGTCCTCAGAGGAAAACAAGTTCACGTTAGCGATTTTGGACGGCGGCAAACTTTTAAACAACGGCGAGTTAACGGGCGCTGAGGTGGAAGCCGACGCTACCAGTCACAAACATCAAAGGATTAGATTTCATCTTGGGGCGAGATTTCTTGAAGCGGTTCAACCCCGAGATCGACTGGGTCAACCGGAAAGCCTGCATCTACTACAACAGGAAACATGTGGAACTACGAAGGTGAACAAATATAGGGGATATACCAGAGGAGAAACTTGCATAGTTTGAGCGAACGGTGATGTCAGTAATAACGGACTGGAATGATGAACTAACAAGGATTGTGAGTACAAATATGAAACCCTAATGTTGTGACCCCCCTATAGGCTAACCCACTACAGCCTACACAAATACAACATGTATAATGTTTGACACACCCCCATAGGCAAAGTGGGGGAGACCTAGGGGTCACAAGACCAGTCAAGGCAAAGCAAGGCAACAACAAGCTCAGGGTGGATCTCAAGGATTCCACACAAATTCCGAGCACAAGCTAGTGGTCACAAGACCAGTTCACATGCAGGTTTATAACAGAGCAAGAGATACAGTGATCACAACCTAGCAAGAGTAAACATGCAGGTATAGATATATATAGTGATCACAGTACAAGCAAAGTCAAGAGGTAAGTAAGTGAGGTCCAGTAGGCACAAGGCCTAGTAGAGTGCAGAAGCGCTGATGGTCACGAGGCTGAAGCGCCTTGGTGAACACATCAGCAGTGTTGGCCTCAGTGGCCACGTAGCGAATACAAAGCTGACCGCGCTGCTGCAGCTCACGAGCAAGGAAGTACCGCAGGGCGATGTGCTTCGTTCTGTGCTCCAGTCTGTGCTCCTCACACAAGGCAATGGCAGCCTTGTTGTCGACGTACAGTACTGGAGGAGAACGAGGCCGCTCTCCGAGGTCGGTCAGCAGGTAGGTCAGCCAGCGTAGCTCCTGGGCAGCCATGGCTGTAGCGTAGATCTCAGCCTCGCAACTGGAGCCGAGAACAGAAGAAGAGCGTGTAGAGCGCCAAGAAACTGAGCCAGAGCCAAGGCTGAAGGTGTAACCCTGAGACGACCACTGAGTGGCCTGGTCGTCTGCCCAAGAAGCGTCTGAGTGCCCTGTGAGAACAACTCGGTCTCGCCCTCCAAGCACAAGCCCCATGCCCGACGTACTGCACAAGTAGCGCAACACCCTCTTAGCGGCATCCATGTGCTCCTTCCTGTGACGGCCAGGAGCGACATAGCGTGCAAGGATGCTAAGAGGGTATGCAAGGTCAGGTCGAGTGCAGGTCATCAGGTACATGAGGCAGCCCACAAGCTCTGGATACGGGCCACTCGGCTCTACGGACTCATCCGAAGGCAGAGCTGAGAGCGAGTGACCGGTAGGCAGAGGAGTGGACTGAGGCGAGGAGTACGTGAAGCGGAAGCGCTGGAGAACCTGCTGCACCATGTGTGACTGAGTCAGGGTGATGGTGCGCCGTGCTCTGTCCCGGGTGATCCGCAAGCCAAGATAGCTTGTCAGCTCACCCAGGTCTGTGCACGTGTGTCTCCTCTGCAGCTCCGACTTCACGTAGGCGAGTCCTGCAGTGTCAGCAGTGGCAAAGACCAAGTCGTCTACGTACACGAGGATGTAGAACGGCGGCAGTGAAGTGTCGGTGCGCAGGAACAGCGACGGGTCAGCTGTAGAAGGCGCGAACCCAAGAGCCGCAAGTGTAGTCCTCAGTGTGTCGTGCCACTCACGCGGAGCCTGGCGGAGACCGTAGACCGGCCGCTGAAGCCTCCACTGGGTACCAGGAGGAAAAGACCCAGTGAAGCCAGGTGGGCGGCGCAGCCAGATCTCCTCGTGCAGGCTGCCCTGCAAGAAAGCAGTGCTGAAGTCAAGTGAGTGAAGCTCGTAGTCGCGCTGAGCGGCTATGTGCAGCAGCACCCGAAGAGTGGTCATCTTCGGGGTGAGGGAGAAGGTCTGGAAGAAGTCAACTCCCTCTCGCTGACTGAAGCCTCGAGCCACGTAACGCGCCTTGAAGACAGGCGGAGAACCCGGCGGCCGCTTCACCCTGAAAATCCACATGCCACTGACGATGTTCGCCCCAGGAGGGGGAACCTCGTCGACGTAGGTGCGTGTGGACTTCCAGGAAGCCATCTCGGCTTCCATGGCTGTCTGCCACTGAGAGGAGTAGGGACCCGCCATCGCCTCAGCGTAAGTGCGCGGGGTCGGGATGTCTGGTGCATCCGGGTCTCCCTCAGGGGCAACTAGCAAGGACACGAGACGGGGCAAAGCAGCAGCAAGACACTGGAACTCCTCCTGTCTGTCCTCAAGGACGTCCGTGCCAAGAGCACACTCACCCGCGACGGACGGAGGACAGACAGACTCAGACTCAGACTCAGCAACAAGGCTAGCAGCGTAGTCTAGACGACAGGCAGCAGCAAAGTCAACCAACTCAGCGACCAGAGCAGACGCAGCCGAGGACTCAAAGGTAGGGTCAGTGACAACAGTAGCAAGGAGACGCGTGACAGTAGGGTGCTCAGCACGATACCGGTCAGACTCAGGGTCCGGAACGTCAGGCAAAGAGGAAGCAGGAGGAGACGGTAGAGGGACACGCTGAGGAGCAGTAGAGGGACGCAGAGTCATGTAGTGAGTGCCTGGGACAGGAGGAGGACGCTCACGACGGACACGACTACCAGTGCGAGCACGACGAACAGGCGACGCAGGACGAGACTCAGGCTCACGACGCTCAGTAAGACCTCCTGTGGGACCAGTGTAAGGAGAGGGAGCAGGGAGAGGCGAGGTAGGTGGTAACTGTGACTGCGGCTGGACAGGCGGAGGACACTCTACGGAGGGAGGAGGACAAGGAGGAGGAGTCTGCCCAAGAACCTGCTGAAGGAGCGGTACGAAGTACGGTCGCGGCCGCGCAGCGTCTCCGGAAGCAGAGGAGACTCCAGCGGCCGGGTCCTCAGTACCAGTAGGAGCTCCAGCGTCCGGGTCCACAGCACCAGCAGCAGCTCCACCGGCCGGGTCCTCAGCACCAGTAGTAGCTCCAACGCCCGGGTCCTCAGCAGCAGCAGCAGTGCCACCGCTCGGGTCCTCAGCTCCAGCAGCAGCTCCACCGTCCGAGTCCTCAGCACCAGCAGCAGCTCCAACGTCCGAGTCCTCAGCACCAGCAGCAGCTCCACCAGGCGGGTCCGCAGCACCAGCAGCAGCTCCCACGTCCGGGTCCTCAGCACCAGCAGCAGCGCCACCCCCAGGGTCCGCAGCACCAGGAGCACCACTCCGAAGACTGCAGCGCCGTGTGTACCACTCGCGGATCTGCTGAATGGGGGGGAGCTCCTGGGGAGGAGGGGAAGTACCGGGACGAGCTCCAGCAGCACCTCTCCGGAGGCGGCAGTACTCGAGGTACCTCTCTTGCAGCTGCTGGGAGGAGAGGGCTCCTCCAGGTGTAGCACGCTCAGGCTCAGCACCCCCAGACTCAGCACCCCCAGGCTCAGCACCTCCAGGCTCCGCACCTCCTGGCTCAGCACCCCCAGGCTCCGCACCCCCAGACTCAGCACTCCCAGGCTCAGCACCCCCAGACGCAGCACCCCCAGGCTCAGCACCCCCAGACGCAGCACCCCCAGGCTCAGCACCCCTAGCAGGACGAGAGTCAACAGCTACCTCGACAGGCTCACCCGGGTCTACCTGGGACACACCTGAGGGAGCGGCACCCTGAGGGGGGAGGGGGTCTGGTACCTCAGCACCTGGAGCGAGGAAGAGAGGCGGGGGGGGGAGCGGGGCAGTGCGGTAGGGGAAGAGGCGGTAGTAGGGGACGGACTCGTCAAAAGTGACGTCCTGAGAGGCCAGGACACGACGCGAGGTGGGGTGGTAGAACTGCCAGCCAGGGGCGTCCGGGACAAAGCCAAGGAAGACGCAGGGGACAGCGCGACGGGAGAGCTTGTCCGCGGACGTGTCGCGGACAAAAGCTCGGGATCCCCAGACCCGAAAACGCGACGCATCGCCAGCCTCTCCCGTCCAATGCAGTGTCGGAGAAGTCTCGGGCAAGGAGACACGGGGCCAGAGGTTGAGCTGATGCGCAGCGTATCGGACTGCAAACGGCCACAGAAAATGGGGGGCAGCCGCATGGCTCAAGGAGGTACGAGCGACCTCCATGACCAGACCAATGCGGCGCTCAGCAACCCCATTCTGCTGTGGAGAGGCCGGAAGCGTGTACGACTGCTCAATGCCCTCCTGCTGACAGAAGGCCTCCAATAGGCCAGAGGAAAACTCCCCACCTCTGTCAGAGTGCAGACGCAGGACAGGGAAGTCGGAGCGGAAACGCTCACGGAGCTGGAGACGAGATCTGCGGATCCAAGGGATCAAGACATTAGGGACGTCACCCTTGGCGCGCAAGGGGAAGACCGTGGTGTAGCGCGAGAAGTCGTCAACAACAATCAGGAAGTACCTCTCCTGACCCTGACCACGGACGCGGGCTGGGCCCCACACGTCCATGTGGAGCGTCTGCAAGGGAGCAGTCGTCGGGGGAAAGGAGGAGGAGTGAGGAGCGGCGCGCTGCCGTCCCTCGACACAGGGAATACAGGGAGGAGCAGGCGAGTCGGGAAGGGGAGGGAGCACCCTGGGAAGACCAGCAACAAGGTCCCGCTTGTGCATGGCCCGAAGGCGCTGCACAGACGGGTGACCAAGGCGGTGGTGCCAAAGGACAGTCTCATGCGCCAGAGAGCGACACGAGCAGGGGGCGGACAGCTGACCTGACGCAGACGCAGACGCGGACGCAGCTACCTGAGGGGACTCAGTGGTCAGTGTGTAAAGGTCCGACCCCGGCTCCCGAGTGAAGGTAGCCAGGTGGCGACCCGTCCGAGCACACGTGCAGTGTGTCACGCGCTCGTAGGCAGGGGTGAACTGGTGAACACCCCCGTCCTGGAGCGCACTACCTGCCACCAAGTTCGTAGAGAACGAGGGGAGGTAGAGACCTGACAGCGTGCCGGACGGGACCGCCGGACAAGGAAGGACAGTGGAGGAGGTCGCAATGACCGGACCCCCAGAGGGGTCAGCAAGGGAGACAGCAACTGGCCGAGCGAGTGGCTCAAGGACAGTGCGGTCACGAAAGAAGGAGCGAGAAGCACCTGAGTCCAGTGTGAAGGTGTGCAGTGCTGCAGTCGACTCAGTACCAGGGGGCACGGACGCACGAGCACCTAGGGCTGCAGCCTCACCAGGACCTGTGGGAGCAGACGCACTAGCACCTAGAGCGGCAGCCGGACTGGCCTGAATGCCCGGGTCGGGCGGAACACGCAAGTACTGAGCACCCTCTCCACTAATAGACATCGCATACATGGCAGTGAGAATAGCATCAAAGTCTAAAGCCCAAATATCAACACCCCTCTTTTCCAGATCAGCCCAGCGCGGCAGCTCAGTGGCAGCAGGAAACTGAGTGCGCCACGCGTCGTTAAGGCGCGCGAAGCAGCGCTGTGTGGGGTGCGGCCTCCCACACTGCTGGCCGCTGCGGTCACCTGTGCGAATGACGTACGTGCAGGTAACGCTACGCTGCGCATACCACTCACGGGCGGCCTGAAGCGTCGGGGCGGGCTGCTGACTCTGCCCTCCGCCAGTGCCTCCACGACCACCACCCCCACCGCCGCCGCCCCGGCCACCTCCACCCCTGCCGCCGCCACGACCACCTCCGCCTCCGCTGCCGCCTCCACCACCACTCCCACCGCTGCTGTCTCCTCCCCCACTGCCGCCACTAGTCTCCCCAGCCGCGCCTCCACTCCCACCGCCTCCACCCCCACCTCCTCCGCCGCCACCCCCACCCCTGCCCCCCTTGTTCCTGCGGCGCCCGCTCGAAGCAGACGCGGTCCCGACCTTCTCAGCACCAAGAAGGTCGACAGCAGCAGCAGAGGCGACAGAGGGGAGGAGGGGGGAAGGGGAACACCCCTCAAAGAACGGGGTGCGGGGGTCGCCACGAGAGGTGCCTACAGCGACGATGCTCGCCTCAGCTGCAAGCAGTTCCTTCTCGAGGAGGGCAACAGTGAGCTCAGTGGGGGAGCGAGAGAGGAAGTGGTCCCTGACTGCGCGCAGAGAGTCAGGGAGGCGGGTGACGATGTGGTAGAGAGTGATCCAGAGCGGGGGGGGGTTGCTAGTGAGAAACTCGGCAGGCATAGCAGCGCGAAAGCGGGCCTCACTAGTCTTAAGGTGGGTGATGAGGTCTGCGACAGTGTGAAAGGAGGCTAGGTTGGGGAACAGGTAGGGGAGAGTGAGGCGGCCTAGCGTGGCAGAAGCGGGTGAGGAGTAGCGGGCAACTACAGCGGTGTAGAGGTCCTTAGCAGTCTTGCACTGGCCGAAGTGCTCGCGCTCGTCTAGCGGCAGGGAGTTGCGAATAGCAAAGCGAGCGTGCGCATCACGGGTCTGCCACTGGGAACGCAGAGTGCTGTCAGCAGACGAGTCAGGGGCAGTGGCATGGCCTAGGGCATGGTCGTACAGTGAGATATCTTCCTTGGCAGTGAGCTGTAGGAACAGGTGTAGGTCATCTAGCCAGGTTTCGAACTTCACTGGGCGGCCCTCGGCATCGAAAGCTAGAACGAGAGGACTAGCCATAGTGACAGTAGCAGTAGTAGGAGAAACAGTAGCGGTAGCAGTAGTAGCAGTAGGAACAAGGCCGCTGGAAAGGTGTGCGCAGGGTCAACGGGGCCGGCGTGGTGCACGAGCGGCAGTAGTAGGGAGCGCGACAGCAGGAGCTGCAGCGGTGCGCGACCGAAGGGCAGGAGCTGCGGCGCACTAGCGGTAGCGGGCGACTCGCGGGCGGCTACTGCAGAGGCGCACGGGCGGCAGCGGCTTATGCGGACGGGTGACAGCGGCGTATGCGCACGGGCAGCAGCGCCGACAGCGCACGGGCGGCTGCAGCAGCAAGCGTGCGGCAGCTGCGGCGGCGAGCTGCGGGCCTGCGGGGCCACGGCGGGGTGTGCGCGAGCGGGCGACGGGCGGCTGCAGCAGCGGGCGCGTCAGCGAGGCGCACAGGCAGCGCGCGGGCAGCGTGCGGGGCCGCGCGTAAAGAAAACAGCCGCGCGCGTGCGGCTAGCGGGGCGCGCGCAGCGAAATCGACCGCACGAGGGCGGCTAGCGGGATACGCGCGCTAGGAAAAAAAAAAAAGTCGAGTCGCGCGCGGGCGGCTGGCGGGCTGCGCGCGCGCGGTAGGTAGGAGGCGCACGAGGGCGCGTAGGCGCACGAGGCGCACGGTAGGTAGGTAGGTATGTAGGTAACGGTGGGCCCTAAGAACGGTCCTAGCGAAGGACCTGCTCTGAAACCATGTCAGTAATAACGGACTGGAATGATGAACTAACAAGGATTGTGAGTACAAATATGAAACCCTAATGTTGTGACCCCCCTATAGGCTAACCCACTACAGCCTACACAAATACAACATGTATAATGTTTGACAGGTGAATGAAAGTAACATAGGTTGCCTTGCACTGGTGATGGTAGCAGAGAAAGAGAAGCCAAACTCGGAGCTACCTGAAGCAGTACAGAAAATTCTATAGGAGTACAAGGACATTATGCCAGACGACCTACCTGCAGGAGTGCCTCCATAGCGAACTCACCGTGGAGAATCCAGGTTCAAAACCTACCTTTTGTATACCATACCGTCTCAGGCCAGCAGACCTTGCAGACATGAAGAACTAGATAGAGTACCTGTTGGATCAAAAACCGATCTGATCATCCACATCACCCTACGACACACCGGTTCTCTTCATTCTAAAGCCGGGCGGGAGCTTACAGATATGCATCGACTTTCGGGCACTGAATAAACAGACTGTTAAAAATAAATACCCCATACCACGCATACACGATCTCAAGGATCAACTACGTGGTGCAACAGTCTTTACGAAGCTGTCTGTCGGGTTACTGGCAGTTCAAAATTCCACAAGACGGCGTTCTATTCCAGATACGGCTCCTACAAATACTTGGTGATGCCGTTCGGACTCTGCAACGCACCAGCAACATATCAGGCGAAGATGAACCACATACTTCGGCCCCTGCTGGACAAGTGCGTAGTAGTGTACCTGGATGATATCTTGGTCCACTCTAAAAATATGAAGGAGCACGTAGAACATCTGCGAAAAGTCTTCGAGGTCCTTCCGAAAAAAAAAAAAAAAAAAAAAAAAAAAGTTCTCATGAAGCTGTCGAAGAGCGACTTCACCGTGAAAAAAGGTGCAATTCCTTGAGAATGTCAATGATGTAATAAAATTGCAGCAGTTCCTAGGCTTCGCCAATTACTACAACAGGATCGTGCCATAGTACGCTAAGATAGCAGCGCCACTAACGAACTTACTAGAAAAAGGTACACCCTATAAATAGGATACTCCTCAACAACAAGTTATGGAGCAGCAACAGACAGAGACTACGTGGAGGAAGCAGGCACTAGTGACGAGGCAGTCAGAGTAGTACTAATGCAGGATCACAGACGCAGTTTGCAATCCATCGCATACCTCTGTAAGAAGTTACACAGAGCTGAACTGAACTATCCAATCTACGATAAGGAATCATTGGCGATCATTACAGCCTTCAAGGCGTGGAGGTGTTTCCTCGAAGGAGCTAAGACTACAGTCGACACAGATGACTGCAGTCTTAGCCTACGCTCTCACGACGTTAGGTGCAGTGGATAGACTACAAGCCAGGGTTACACAACAAGGCAGATGCGCTGAGCCGACCCGAGCATGTAGCAGGGATCCAGCCCGACGGGATGAACCCCCTGCTCAAGTGTTTATTCCAACATGGGTACTCCGTGGACACCGAAATCGCTACAGCAAAGAAGCATAAACGGTTAAAGTGGGAGAAAGACCTAGCAGTACAGAAGGGTTCCGGAAAGATTTGGGTCCCGAACTACGCTCCACTCTGACATTTTTCTCCGAAGAGTTTCACGTCGTAGCTTACACGGGACATTTCGAGAGCAACAAAACCCTTGACGGCATAGGTAAGTAATTCTGTTGGCCCAGATGGCAAATGGACGTACAACAGTTTGTTACTTTATACAACACGTGCCAATGATTGAAGAGTAGTAAGTAGAAAAAAAACAGAACTATTTCAGCCTCTACCCGTACCGGAGCAGCCATGGCAAGTTGTTAGTCTAAATTTCACTAGACTATCATCGACCTCACGAGGGCAGAATGCTATACTCGTGGTGATCGACAAGTTCTCCTAAAGGCACTTCATCCCTACCACCATCCACGACATTCCCACTACCATCATATCAGACAAAGACCCAAAGTTTACCAGCAAGTTTGGAGGGAACTCATGGGTTTGTTGGGGACAAAGCTTGCAATGTCTTCACATACCACGCCTAGACAAGTGGTTGAACGGTTACTGCATATAGCATGCAAGGACAACAGTCACTGGGATCTGCAATTACCAACCCTAGAGTTCGCTTACAACAACGCTTCATACACGACCACAAGGAAAACGCCTTTCTTCATATGCCGGACACGTACCACAGCAGCCAACTACACCGGCACACGTCCAAGCCGCACATGACTTCGTCAGCACCATGCAGCAGCTATAAGAGGAGACTAAAAAGCGTCTCACCACGATGCAGAACTCCCAGAAGCAGTATGTCGATCGAAATTCTCAGTGTGCAGAACTCCCACGACGTGATCACTCATCAGAGTCGGAGATCAGGTCCTTTTTTACACATGTAACTCCGACTTGTGTCACCGCCCATCCAAGCTCTGACCTCGCTTCTGTGGTCCTTCTCGCGTTGAGGCCATAGTGACAAGAAACATTCCGCTTGCTCTACGTGGAAGCTTCACAATGCTTTCCATGTTCAGCTACTGAAGCCCCACAAACACCCCAACCGACAGTACCAGGGACGTCAGCTACCGCCACCACACCAGTCTTCGTACAGCACCAAGGTACAAGGTGGAACGTGTCCTCGATCATCGATGCCGTCGTGGCAACATGCTCGAATTCCTTATCCGCTGGAAGGGATATGACCCATCAGAGAACAGTTGGGTTACAGAAGCTGATATGGGCAATAAGTGCCATGCTTTCAATAATTATCTTGTCAAGCAGGGTGTTTTCCATGCCACCCAGCTTTGAGGGGGGGACGCGTGAGAGTACAGCGACCGTGCTTACCCATTCTTACTAATTCATATTTTCTATCATCATTTGTGATTGTTTACTAGATTCATTGCTTTACTATATTTTTTATAGTTATATCACCAAATTAGGTTGCGTGCACCGAATTTTGCTTCATTTTGGATATTCCCTCGTAACTTAGCGTACGCGTGGTTCAGCCAAATTGATTCTACCGAATTTGGGAAGGTCCTGTTCCCGATGCTTCGTGAACCTAGGAGCATTCTCATAAGACCTGGTTGCATTGTTTTGTGCCTCTATATAGCCTCGTGTTATACCCAGGTGATCAAAATATTAATCTCTGAATTCGATCATCGATCCTCACATTGTTGCCACGATCTAGGTGCCTTTGTAATCCCGTACGAGGATTTCTTTAGCTGGCAACCCTGGAATCCCCTTCGCTGTAAGTGTGCGGCTGCTCCACGTAAATTACGGCGTCGACTAGTGCTTACAAGAACACGTTCTTCATGTTGATGTACCGAAGTGGGAGATGTTGGGCGGCAGAGATGGCAAGTAAGATTCGTACGGAGGTGTGATGGTTTACGGGGAAGAAGGTCTGATCGAAGGCGATCCCGTGACGTTGATTGTAACCATGCACAACTCATTGTGCCTGGAAGCGTTCGACTGAGCTGTAGGCCGTGGTTTTCCCACAGAATACCCATTTTCCTGTCAACACTCTCCTCCCCTTAATTGCAGCTTCATCCATGAGTATCCAAATGCCACGGGACTCCAGCGCATCCAGCTCCGCATCCATTGCTGTCCACCATTCCTTGTTGCATGGTCTTGTGAGAGCCTGCCTTGGTGTTTTTCGCTCGATGATACGCGGGACTATGGTTGTTGCTGTGTGAAGTCCGGGTAGCTGCAGTCCGGACATCGTAGTGTTGTGGCAGTCCTCATAATTTACTTTGTGCTCATCGTCGTCGTCGCTTTCCGGTACAAGAGCAGGACTTTGCGTGGGATTTGTCTTGGGAGAGAGAGATTTTACTCCGCTATGGTCGTCTAGTGAGTTTATGTCAAGGATCGTTGTGGCGGCTTGGTCTTCGGGGGTGGCGAAGTTGCGTTCACCGTGTGCATGCACCAGGTCTGCTTGTGCCTGTTGATCTACGCAGAATTTGGCAAGGAAGGGCCTTTGGTAGTACAGGCTGTCTCGCGCGGGTGCGATTTTGTTTCTCACCAGGTCTATGATAATCCACGCCTTGTATTCGTAGCCAATGCCGAGGTGAATGCCCCAGCACGCTCGGTTTGTGAATTTCCTAGTGGTTGCAATGGCCGGTTTGTGTTGTGGAGATTCACTCTACAATGGTGGGAGCTATACTATAAGGGAAGGCACGGATTGTGTGAGTGATCGCAGCGTTCCTTAGCGTTCTCTCTATTTGATCATTTACATGGAGAATCGGAAGAGAAAGTTCAGAACGACAATGATCGCAATAGCAAAGGCGACAATGGCTCGCAACACTGCAGACAGACTG